CCATATCCGCGCGCAAAAGGGTCGACGCGGGAAAAGAAAGTCCTACGCCTATTCGTATCCTCGCAAAATTCCGAGAGTTTTCCCCAACGCGACCCAGAACATTCACACACAAAAAGGACACGTCGAAGTTCCGCTTATCCCGGAATTCCCAACTGCCGGGCCCAATTCCCAGTGCGCTCGCTAAGGCGCACGTAAATTCCTATGTATTTCCCGAATTGCAACGAAAAAGCAGAACCCGGGAATCGTGAAAGCTTCCGAAAAGATGGGGGCCCAAAACGCGGCATCCGAAATCAAGAAAACGAAATGGGGTTTTTATGGGGTTGGTATGATACAAGCAAAAAGGGTACGAAAGATAGCCCGGGTTCGGGAACTAGTTCGTCACAATCGCGCATCCTCCATTTCAAAGGTACACCTTCTTGTCCAAATTGCCCATATGATCGCTTTCCTACCTATTAAGAACATGTTGATTGTGAACTCATCCACTTGGTCCGGATGCCATGATTCCAATAGGAGGGCTTTCCACTCCCAGGGCCAGGGGTGAGAAGTGTCCATTTGATTCCAGATCCTATCCCACCATCTCCAAAGCCAGATTGACCCCGGACATTGGAGGAAAATATGCTCTATAGTTTCGGGGATGAGCTTGGATGGAAAAGTTGATTTACAGAACTTACACCATGGGAGGGCAATGCCCTTCTGTTCAAGAGAAGACCTATCAATGATCCAATCATTCGTGGGAAGACATCTATGAGCAATTTGCCACTGTAGAGAAGCAATTTTGGCTGGTTTAGTCTTAGAAGCTTGGAACCACTCAATTCTTCTCAACTCGTCCTTACTAACATTAAGATTCTTATGCCATCTTTCTTCAATACGATCTTTCAAGATAAACCTGGGGCGGAGCATCCTGTAGGATGCTTTGACTGTGAGGGTGTGTAGTTTTCTAGGATGAGAGTGACCTCTTTTCCCAGGGAGTGACCAGCACCAGTTAAGAGGGTCAAACGGAAGGTGAGAGATGGGAGTATCCGGTCTAAAAGCAAGCCATTTTTCATCAAACTTCAGTAGTCTAATCCTGAAGAGTTGGTCATACGTGCTCCATCTAATTTCCTCCTGTTGACCCCGGTTGAGAAAGCCATCATCTTGAATTTGAAAGATTGATAGAAGATTCCGTAGGATTCTGATCCACTCCAGGGGGATTAGGTCAATTATTGAATCGATAGCGGAAGTTCGATGGTGGCTATATCTAAAATCCGCCCTTCCCAAATTCGCATATTTTGCAGATTTGGGGTTGCCCTGTGAGTATGCCCTCTACCCGCTGTCCCCTAGCCGGTATCGCCCACCTGCAGGTCGGGATCAGCCCCCGGATGTTCTCTCGTGAATACAGTTCTGGCTGCTACGGGGTTACCCGTATGCCTACAATTAGGAGTAGTGGTAGGTAGGTAGCGTGAGGTGAAACTGAGAGGTGAATTCATTTGTGGGTTCGAAAATACTCGGCAACTAAATGGCCAACAAATGAATTCCAAAAAAATTATACTGGCTGATGGGCAGCTGCCTCCACGAAAACAAAGAGAAAATTATACTGGCTGATGGGCAGCTGCCTCCACGAAAACAAAGAGAATCGACACTACCAGTCGACACGCAAAACGATCAACACGACTGACCTTTGTCACGGACGGCCGCACGTGATCCAAAACCTCAGAGCACACGCCTAAATCGGACCTAGTCGGTCCTGGCTCCTGGGCCATGCTAATCTTCCCCGTAAGTCCGCAAGGACTCTTCTCTCAATTTCACCTTTCACTGGGCGTCGCCACACCACTCTCGAAACGTGAAAAAGACAAAAATGTGGCGGGAGCATCTGGTTATGTTCTAGCAGGGAGTTCATTCTCATTTTGCACATTTCGAAAGTGGTGTGACGATGCCCGCTGCCTACCCCCAAAACAGGTCTTTTTCATCCTTCCACGTCCTGTCCTCCATATTCTCGTCCTCTGTCCTTTTTCTGTCCCTGCCAGCATAGGAATCGCCAAGAGTGTGCGATGCGAATCTGCACCAGGAACTGAAAGGAGGGAGTCATATCTGTAAGCCTCAGGCAAATCCAAGAGGTACTCCATGTCTGTTCTGTAAAAAAAAAAAAAAAAAAAAAAAAAGGCGGACCGTGATCTCCTTTTTTTGGTCCTTTTTTCACCCCCCGGTTTTTCCATGTTCAGATTGCAACTCCCCATTACAATCTTTAGAAAGAAGGTCCTGATTGTCATTTCATTTCGTTGAATTCAACCGGAATGAAATGACTGAATGAATACAAGCTGTAGGTAATACCCAAGGCATGAAAGATGCATTTTCTACGGCATCCCAAAAGCACCAACCGCCCCAACCTAGCGCATGATAAGCCCACCAACTTCCCATTTCTGTCCCGATTCGATATACCTCGGCGCCTGCCTTCCCCATCCCTCTTCCTCAATCGCGACCTCCCCCTGGCCTGATGGATTGAGCCCACATGGCCTTGCCACCCCTGGCCTGATGGATTGAGCCCCCACACGCACACAGTTTATGCCAAGTTTTTTGCTGCCCCCTCGATCATCTCAGCCGCTGAAAGAATAGATCAGAAGCTAATTACCAAAAAAAAGCAAAGCAACTGCTCCATCTCGCCATTGTCATATCAATACAATACTCCTTTCCCTATTCTTCTTCTCTCCTTCTGCTGCTCCTCGTCCTCCTCTTCCTCCTCGTCCTTTTGCGAGCTTCTTCTCTTCCCCATGTTCAGATCAAAACCCCTGCGTTTCCCATCCCGACCGACCACCCATCCTCAACATCCGGATTGTGAGGTCTGCCGCTTTCACCTCCCTACATCCCGACCTCCGCCGCCCCTGATTGCGTACTATTGTTTATTCTTTTGCATGTCACTCAAGACTATTGTTGAATATGCATCCCGCGTGGCTGAATATGCAAATACAAATACTTACAGTATTAACTGTTGATGAACAGATCATGAGCTCGAATCCCCTTCGGAATCAGATGGATACAATAGCAATACGAATAAACACTACTACCGTAGGGGGCTAATCCCCTCTTCGGCAAAAGGACTGTCTTTGGTTGAGCCCGCGCGAGCAGCTTATGCCAAGTGTCGGTGGTCGTTGAATCTTCTTAGCGGCCTTGAAAAA